TACTTAGCCGCGGCTAGCTGGCTATGAGCGGCTAGCCGGTAATAACCGACCGATAACCGACCGTAACCGACCGATCCCATCCCTAAACAGGAATGTAAACACTAAATCAATTTACATGTTCAGTAGTATGCAAATTCTTGCATAAATGTGACTTACATATTATAATATACTTGTTTGATAATTTACCTAGCAGGAGAAAACATTAATGTTACACGACTGATCCTTCACCTTATTTTACAATACCAGATCATTCCGCTAGTTATGCTATTAATCCAACACCATTATAATAAAAATGAAGTGGTGATATCTAGATAACTACCCGTTTAAATTTCTGAATTTTTTTTATTTTGACTTTGTGAATTAATAGAATTAAAAAAAAAAATAAAAAAATTTATCAAGTTTAGATAAGCAGCTACTGAGATATCATTGCTCAAGGTTCAAAAAAAAATTTAGCCAATTAGCAAAACAAAGACCACGGTCAAGTTTTATTCAAACTTTGAGCGATAATATCTCAATAACTACCTATCTAAACTTGATGAAGGTTTTTTATTTATTTTAATTCTGTTGTTTCATATAATTAAAATAAAAAACTGTTATCGATTTTAAATAAGTGGTTATTGAGATATTTTCACTCAAAGTTTAGAAATTTTCATACGGTATGAGAACTTAGAAATTTTTACATGATCGACATGATAACCTAGCACAGATTTCATAAATGCACGTATTTGTTTAAGGGCTTGGTTACAAAATTTATGAATTTACCAATTCCCCCACCGCTTCTAATGTCGGAGTATCTACAATAGTGGTGGGGAAATAAGAGCACCCCAAAATTTATATGTATTACAAGTTTAAAAAGAAGTGTAATGGAAACATACATAGATTCTTTATTCACCACCGAACCTTATCTTCGGATCTTTGTCTCCTTCTATACATATGGTTTTCCAAGTACAATAAGTACAGTATACACAATATAAGCCACAATTATAGTAAATCAATAAAGGGTGTACTATATATAAATACCTTATTCAAGTAACTTAAATAAATGTAATGCATACGTTCGTACTACTTACACTAACTTTATCGCTTTTAAATTTGTGTGTTGCAAGTCACATTAAATTCCTAATGTTAAGCTCATCGGATTTACTTATTTGTGCGAGTGATACAAACCCAAAAGAGGAAATTAATAAACAAGTTCGTGAAATAAAAAATTTAGGACTAGAACGTTAAAGTTAGCGGCGATAATAATAAATTATTATTTACTACATATAAAAATTCATTCCCGTCATGTTTAATTAGTGCTCCAAGACGGATTTAAACACTTGTTTTCTTGTATTTTCGCTTTTTTTGTCATTTTTTGCGCACGTGTCAGGCTGATCCGGGATAATCAATTTTTCGTTCTCCGATTGGCTAGTTCCCTTTTTGGATTGCACAAATACAGAAATAAGTACACGAAAATCATCATATCAACTTCAATAAAGTTGGAAAATACTGAAACATTTGGCTTCATTGTTTATACACAATTTGCCGCTATAATGGGAATTGTGATTTCAAGCTTTATTATACACAACACATATATGGAACAGATCACAAATTTAAGGAAAAGGTAAAAAAAGGAGCAATATATTTCAAGATGAGGTATAACGTGAAATCAAAACAAAAAATAGCATCATTTTTAAAATACCGCAAAATTTGGCTAAAAGAAAAATTTGGTTTGATTGTCACGTTACACCAGATCTTAGTTATGGCCAGGGTGACCCATGTCTACAAAGTAATTAATTCAAAAAGAAAAAAAATTTGAAATGCGAAAGTAAAGAAAACGAATGTTTAAATTGACTCTTGAGATACTAAGTAAAAGTGTCAGGAATGAAATTTTGCATATAAAATGCTACTCTTTTTTTAGTCTTCACAGCTTATCCTAACTACTAATCTTAAATCATTAATTACACGTATTTAAGTTTTTAGTTATAATTCCTTTTTTGATTTTGTTACAACAATGTATTCATGTGAAAATAATAAATGTAGTTTGTATTTTCGCGTAACAATTCACATGAATTCTATTTCGAAAAGTTGTACGTACGTGGAATTTAAAAGTAACATACACGGCTTTCAAATAATCCAAAATAATACATATGTTAGAAATAATGTAAATTATCCAATTATATAAATGCTTTTCGGATACTTAATACGTACGTACGTTCTATATAAAGTGAAGGTTTTAAATTAATTAAATCGTGCATGCTTCAATATATTGCATATACTTGCAGATTCTCTTGAAGACTCTCTTGCGAAAAGATGGATGAAATTGTAACTGAAATTAATGAACATTTGAAAGAGTTCGATTATGAAGACTTTCAAGACATTCAATACTTATCAAATATTTCAAACGAATTAAGCGATATTAGTCGTGCTTATTCAAAAACTAATGAATGTCAAGTTATTTTCAAGTCTTTAAAGGAATATGATAAAGATAAATATTACGATAAATTTAACAGAGAAGTATGTTACTGTATTATAAATGAATATTCTTATAATAATATTTTTCGGATTTTAATTATTTGTTAAGGCATATGCAAAAGAAAACTCTAATGTTTCAATTTTATAAAATATTAGATAAAAAATTTAATAAAAATTATCAACAACGAAAACGTGATCAAATTTCTTGGTGTCACTAAAGGTATGCTAGCTATTTATTCTCTATCAAGTTAAATTTCTCATTTTCTTTTAATAAACCTTATTTCTCATTATCTCAGACCCTTCTAAAAATTTTTACTCTATCGTGCTCGAGTATTGTGGTGATAAAAGCCTAAGTGAACATTTGAAAGAATTAACAAAAGAAGATTGGCATTATAAAATAAAAATGGCTAAAGATGTTGCCAATGGCTTAAAATATATTCATGCAAAGAATATTGTACTTTTTAATCTGGTTAGTATATTATTAATTTAACTTAGATACCATGTAGTTACAAATTAAATTTAATTCCGATTTACTTTTTGAATTTTGATAATAGAACTCAAAAAACATAATGGATTATAATGGTAAATTGGTGATCACAGATTTTAGTTCATCTGTGTCTCTTAATGGTCAAATGAAGCCTATTACTATCAAAATCGCTGACAAAAGTATTGCTTATATGGACCCTAAAAGTTTTGATTGTGCCGATACGGTTAGCAAGTCTTTTGACATTTATAGCTTAGGGGTAATATTTTGGGAAATATCAAGTGGTAAACCTCCTTTTAGTAATGAACAAGATATAGACGAATTAAAAAGTTCTCTTGTAAATGGAAAAAGAGAGTCACCCATTAATTTAACACCTGTAGATTACAAAGAACTTTATTATGATGCATGGGATATGGATCATAACAAACGTCCATCAATTAAGGATGTCATAAGATGTCTCAAAGACATTGAACTTGATCTCGTATATCATGTATATCCAGATTCTAATTATGTTCCAAAAATTTCTTATAAAAGAAATAGTTTTGTAACAAAAAAGGAAGCTTGCTTTAAAATTATTGAAGGCTCACCTAAAAATCAATACCTTTTCATCCCTGAAGGCGAAATACTTTTAGGAAGGAAAGATTCAAATTATATCGTAATAAAAGACTCAAAAATTGACAAGAATCATGCAAAAATCAAAAATTATCAAGGAAAAGTTGATATCATTGGTATTGGTTCTAAATCTGAAATTTTTGTTAATGGAAAACAACTTGAATTTCGTACTTTATATAATTTGAAAAAAAATGACTTAATTAAAATTGGAAGTAGTACTTTTCAATACCTTCCCATTGGTGAATTTAAGAATTCTATTGATCCATTTTTACAGATTTATAACACTAATTACTTGTGGAAAAGTTTGGAAACTGGATTTAAGAATAGTCAAAATTCGCGTTTATCATTACTGTTTTGTGATTTGGATCATTTTGGAAAAATCAATAAAAACTATGGTTATGAAGCTGGAGACTACATTTTAATAGAATTATCAAAATTTATTCAAAATAAATATATTCGTGATAAAGATATTTTTTCTAGATATAGTGGGGAAGAGTTTACCATTCTTCTTATTAATACAAATATAAAATTGGCTTATAATATTGCTAAAGAAATTCGATCTTCTATTGAAACTTATCCGTTTATTTTTAAAGGCAAAAGATTACCATCAATTACACTTAGTATCGGTGTTTCTGAAGTAAACTCTTCGGTAAAAAAGTCCGAAGACTTATTGAATCATGCAGAAGAAGCTTGTAGAAAGGCTAAAGAATATGGTCGTAATCGGGTAATAATATGGGAAAATGAACAAATCTCAATCCGTATGTACTGTATATATTAATTATTCTATTTATAAATTTATATTAGTATTTAATACTTTTATTTTTATTTATGAACTCAATGATAGAAAACGTAAGTATGATTTATTTTGTTATGTTTTAATAAAGTTAACTTTAACCCTTTTTTTAAAAGTAATAATAATGGCAATTTGTAATCAATGTATCAATGTATCAATAATCAATTTGTTTAGAACCAATTTTTTCAAAATCCTTTAAATTGTTCAAAATTCTCTTTACACTTGAAATTCGCTGAAAGTGGAAATCATTGGGATCAAAACAATCTTGGAATATGTTATAAAGATGGAATAGGTACAAAGAAGGATGCACGAAATGCTTTTGAATGGTTTAAAAAATCTGCTGAAGGTGGAAATCATTTAGGACAATGTAATCTTGGACATTGTTATCGTAATGGAATTGGTACGAAAAAAAATCAATTGAAATCATTACAATTTTATATGATATCTGCTGAAGATGGAAATCGTTTAGCAAAACTTATTCTAACAAGTTGGTTTCGGAAAGGTGTATGTGATATAAACAATGATACATTCAAATTTCTTCATGAAACTTCTAATAATGGAAACCATTTAGGACAAGCATTGATTGCATCTTGCTTTTTATATGGAATTGGCGTTAATAAAGATGATCAAAAAGCTTTTTATTGGGCTGAGAAATCTGCATTGGGCGGAAATACTTTAGGCCAAAATATTCTTGGACTTTGTTATTTGAATGGAATTGGTATCGAAAAAGATGATGCGGTAGCATTTAGGTGGTACGAAAAATCTGCGCAAGGTGGTGATGTTAATGGACAGTGCAATCTTGGAGTTTGTTATCAAAAAGGAATTGGAGTCGAAAAAGATGATACCAAAGCATTCCGATTGTATGAAAAATCTGCGCAAGGTGGAAATATAAATGGACAACGCAAACTTGGATTTTGTTATCAAAAAGGAATTGGTGTTGAAAAAGATGTTACAAAAGCATTTCACTGGTATGAAAAATCCGCGCAAGGTGGAAGCATAAATGGACAATATTATCTTGGAGTTTGTTATCAAAATGGAATTGGAGTTAAAAAGGATGATTCGAAAGCATTTCAATTGTATAAAAAATTTGCTCGGGGTGGAAATATAAATGGACAGTATCAACTTGGTGTTTATTATTTAGACGGAATTGGTGTCAAAAAAGATATGAATAAAGCACTCAAGTGGCTTCAGAAATCTGCTTATGGTGGAAATCTTCAAGCACAAATGATATTACAATCAAAATTCCAACCAACAATTCCAACTCAAATCCCACCATTTCCACCATTTCCACCAAGCGAAAATGAAGTTTTAAAAATTGATAAAAAATGGCACCTAATTTTAGGTGAAGAAATGCCTTTAATCGAACCTCAACATTATTTTATACTTTGTAAAATTATTCCTCAACCAAAATTATTATCTCATGAAATTTATGTAAATGTTGCAACAGTTCTTCCATATATTCGACAAAAAGTTAAAATGTGGGGTGTTGATATTTTTAAAGCAGAAAACTTTGCGAATTTAGTCAATGAAGAAGAAGACGAAGAATCTTCTGATGATGAAACAAAGGATGAAAATAAAAAGTTAATAAGAAAAAATAGATTATCTAGATTTGATTGCATTGCTACTTTATTTGCATCTGCTGAATCTACTGTTGTTCAAGATATCATTAAAACTATGTCCCAATTTCCAATCGCATTTCCTTTATTGATGCCCACTTTAGATAACGCTGAGAAGTTTAAAGTAATGCTTCCTTTATACACTGGACTAGCTATTAAATGGAATTTAAGCAATGGATCAGTAATAGAAAATCATCTTTTTGAAGACTCTTTTAAAATGATTGTTGCAGTTCGGATTGGAATGAATCCTCAAGGTAAAAGTACCATACTTAATCAATTGATGGCTTCAAAATATATGTTCACATCATCTTCTGAGCCAAGAGCTGATTATGGAATTCCACATATGATTAATGGAAGTGTTGAGTTTGTTTGGCTAACAGAAGAGACTTGTGGTCCCGATCTATGGAATAGTGTTTTTAAACGTTATTATGAAGAAGAGAGAAAAAAGATCGTGTTACTTGCCAATTTACATGGTGATGCATTAGATTATCCTGATCAAATCGAATTTCTAAAGCAATTACCTTCTTGTTTCTTGGTTTTCTTAATGCCTGGATATAATGAAGGTCAAAAAGTTAGGCTTAGAAATTTAATTGGCTCAAAAAAGGTCATATACAACTACGTTAATTCTGAGAACAATGTAGCCAATTACACAATTGATACAAATTCTTTGATGAGTAATGAAACAATAAAAGATGCTTGCAAAATGTTTAAAGATATCTTATACCCTGATCCTGTTGATCTTGTTAATCTCGACAAATTTTCAATTAGCACATTAGAAATTGGTGATACACTTCAATTTTCTGAAAAAATAGAGTGTGTTGAATCTCAGGAAATTATAAATCTTATTAAGGAAAAAACTTGTCGTCATACTAGATTAGAGATTATGCAACTTCAAAAAAAACAAGGTGGATCTGATTGTATACAATTTTGGGAACAGACACCAGAGTTGCAAGAATTAATGCAATTATTCAGTTCTATTATAATTCTACCAATTAGAATAAGAAGAAGAGCTCTGGCACATCTTGAAAAAGAGATATTCAAGCTTTCTACATCAGAGTCATCTAAACTTCGAAATAATGCTATATCGAAGAGGAAAGAATTAAATAATGCAAACATTACGAATAATGTTCAAGAAAAGATAAAGATTCGTGAAGAAATTACAAAACTTTGGAAAGAAGTTGATAATACAAGTTTAGGAATAGAACATTTCATTCGTGAATTAGAACAAATGTATAAAATATTTATTTCCGATCCAAAAAAAATTACTTCTGATAATGGTCTAACTAAAGAAAATATTTCAAAATTACCGGAATATTATGCAGAGTTGTTAATTAGTGGTCATACTATAGAATTGATTGATGGTGATTCTTCAACTATATCTGAAGCTTGGTTTTTAGCCGTTTGTAATTGTATTGATAAAAAAATTCCTAACCTTAAAATTTTTGTAATCAGTATACTTGGATTACAATCTTCTGGAAAGTCCACTCTTTTAAATACACTTTTTGCAAGTAAATTTGCTGTTTCAACTGGACGTTGTACTAAGGGACTTTTGATGCAATTTTTATTTTTGGAAAAAGAATTATCTAATCAACTTGATGTTGATGCTTTTATATTGATTGATACGGAAGGACTTGGTGCACCAGAAAAAATGGGTGATCTGGAATCAGAGAAGAAGGATCGAATGTTAGCAACTTTTGTTATGCGAATAAGTAATTTAACAATTATTAACATAGTTGAAGAATCAACGAGAGAAATCTTACAAATAGTCACTGGGATAATAATGAATCTTGACATATCCCCTGATATACTTATGGTACAACATGTTACAAAAAAGAACTCAATAAAGTTTATAGATATAGAACGTAAATTTTATGAAACTCTTCAAGGAGTTTTAGAAATAACCAGAAAAGAAGATAATAAAGCAAGAGCATACAACTTTGAACGTCTTAGTAGGTTGAAGGATAAAAAACTTCTCAAACTATTTTCATCATTTAAAGATGATATAACAGCTCATTCTTCACCATCGAAACAATATCATAAGGATATTGTCGATTTCTATAATTCTATTATTGATAATTGCAAAACTTCACAAAGTAAAAAAAAATTTTCAGATTGGTTTCCATTAATTAAAAGTTATTGGGATGTAGTATCAAATGAAAATTCTTCATTTGAAGAAATTAAAGAAACATATGATTTTATTGAATTTGGGAATCAAATTGCAAATTTGAAAGGAATTATTGATATGGCATTTTTAAAACATAAGGAATTGATCGAAAATAACATTCGATTTATTGTTTATAAATGGGTTTCAAATAAAGATTCCAGTGTAAATTCAATTAATTTAAAATGTGGAAAATTGATTAAAAAGTTAAATAACATTCCAGAACTTAAAAATTTGGTAGATTGTGAAGAATGTAAAAAAGTAAATAAGGAGAAAGATAAATTAGATAAATATCTTGAAAAAAAAAATGATAAAAAGTTTAAAGAAGAAGCTAATCAAACAATCACTAATTATATTATTTCCCGTCGTGAATTTATATCAACAAAGCTTGAAAATATGCTTGAGGGTATTTTAATACGTAATAGATTTTCTATATTTATTGATAGAATACTAGAAGAGATTTTAAGTACATGGAAGAAATTACCTGATGAAAAGAAATTTGAAGAAGAAGCAAATAAAATATGGAAACAATTACGTGATAGAGTATCAATAGAAAATGAAGACTTTATAAATGAAGAGATAGATGATATAATAAATGAGGAATATGAAACTATGTGGACATCTGACTTTTTTGAAAATTACAAACTTAGGATTATTCCAGAATTATCTAAGATTGATGCAATATATAATGTCAGTTCGTCAAAATTTTTTAAGGATAAATGCATGGAACAAGATAATATTACAAGGCTTAAAAAAGAAATTAATCTTGTTGTGGGACAAATTTTACGTAATATTAAAAGGTTTAATCCTAAAATTGTACGTGATCTTAAAGGCAAAATAGAAAAAAAATTGAAAGATCTTTCAACAAAACTTAATGTAAAATTTAATCCTAATTTTGAAATGAATGTTCACGTATACACATTATTAAATTTTAGAGAAGAAATGGTAAAAATTCAAGAAATATGGGATAAAGATAATGCACCACTTAGTGTGCTTGATCAAAGAAAAGATGAATATATTGAAATGATCAAGCTTCGTCTTCAATATGGTCATTCACATATGTATAAAGGTCATTTAACTGGAGCTTATTTATTGAGAGCTATTCATAAAAAAGCAGTAAATGCAGAAAATCGAGATCGAAGAGAACATGCATTTCGAATACCTTGGATAAAAAATTCTGAAACAATCAGACTTGAATATTTTATTGAACTTGCTGAACAAGTTCATAATGGTGACAAAGATAAAGCTATACAGCATTTTTTGAAACCTCAAGAAAGCATTGAAGAGTGGTTTAAAAATAATGTTAATAAATATACAAGAAAAGGGAAAGGACGAAAATATGAAAAAACTCTTAATACAGAATTTGATTATGTTCGTCAGGAAATTCGCAATTGTAAAAGTTATGAAGATATCAAAAAGTTTGTAAATGTTTATATGACACAAGTTGATGGTATTAACTACCAGTTGAATATTAAAGATAGTTCGATTGCAGAAAATTTTGACTTATTCCATGAAGCTATTTTGAAAGAGCTTGATTCTAGAGGGAATGGTCATTGTCAACTAGAAGAAAAATCACTACCAAATATATATGATGATGAATTGATTAAGAATAGGCTTGGATGCACAAAATCATGCTACTGGTGTGGTGCTTTGTGTTGGGGAGAAAGAGGCCATGATAATGATATTGGCGAAACAAAAATACATCATTCTAGTCATCAACCAGCAGGCCTTCGGGGAACACATGATATTGAAACAAATCTCTTGCTTTCAGAAGCTTGTCATAACAGTCCGGATGATTCATATATGCAATATTACATAAAGGAAGTTCTAACAACAAAAATATGGAGTGAAGCAAAATCTACTGACTTTAAAGACTGGAAATTTGGGCCCCATTACATGACTGATTTTAATGAAATTATGTGCTGGTTTTTTGAAATGTTACATATAGATTTGGCAGAAAAAAAAGATCTCCTTCCAGCAGATGAGTGGGATTTAGAAGAGCATGGTTGCTTAAATAACGATTACTATAAAACAATCAGTGTATTGCGCACGTGTCTTAAAAATAAGTGCTCTAACTATGGCGAAACCGAAATGTAACGTCATGCGGATTTGGCCTCTCCGATCAGACACCACTGATATTCGCTACAACAAATTATAATTAGAGTACTTGAACAACAAATTCATTGCTTTTAAAGCTTTTTTGTGTAAAATATATTTCGTATTCTAAATGAATATTTATTATATTTACATTATCTTAAACTTTAGAAATAAAGCAAACCCAATTTTTTAAAATAACCAAGTTCGTTTGTTCACAGTAAAATCACTGCATATTTCGATTAAATTAAATGCGATAAATATATAAACCTATTTCACTTTCATCCTAATAAATACGCGATCCAAAATCAAATATAAGTATTCATGATTTAGTTACTATTCGTATTCGTATTCGTATTCGTATTCGTACTCCTTTGAAAAGTAATATAAGTCAAATTTTTATATGCATAAAATAAATTCCCATGGAGTTCCTAATTGCAACTTGTATCATCTACTTGTTTCAATTAAAAAAAAAATCATCGAATTTCTATATGTTATGTTCGTAATTATGTTTCTAAATCGAAACGACTAAAATAATCGATTGTGCAAGTTTTCTCGATTACATAAAATTACTACTGGATCGGTTTAAATCTCGCATTCCGTTGTCCATAGAAATCTGTTTAGAATATTCTTGGTTTTCACTTGATGGTACCCACATCGTAGTTTAATAACGCAATTAATATATTTTTATTAGTAAAAAACTAATACGTGAGTTTATCAATTCAATTTACAAACAATGTAAGCTTATAATTAATTGAGTATTCAAAAGGATCGCACATGTAACCTTATCATGCAACAACCGAATATTAACTAAACATTGTGATAATGACATTTGATAAATATTAATGGATCGATCAAGTATCAATTAAGTATCAATTAAATTACTTCTTAATTTGCTTATTCGATTTGTTATCAAAAATATAATTACAGTTGCATACAATTACGACGTCAAGATTGAGGTTTGAGAACGCCCTAAATTTATCAGCTAATTTACGCCATATAGCTTTTGCAGAGGTGGTAAAAAAAACGGGTTAAATTTCATGAATTATGAAATAACGTACGTTATTTTAAAATTTGTAAATGACATGTGTCATTTTCGAAGCGACGCAAATTGACAATTGATCATATACATTTACAATACTTTTAGTGAAAAAAAGCAGATTATATAAAAAAAAGGGTATGTAAATGTCATATCACCTGATATGCAAGAAAAAAAGCAAAAAAATAAAACAAACTCGAAAATAAAACTCGAAAACTAATGTCTAAACTAATCTTGAAGCATATAAATAGATGCTTTATATATATAACCACGAACCTAATGAGCAAAAGTTTCTAGACCCCTAGAGGGTAAGCTAACTTCTTTAAACCTGTCATCAGGCTTTCATTCCAAACACCAATCTTGTCCATCAAACATTTGATCATACGTTATGTACTGATCAGATTTTTCATGAATGAGTCTTGGAGTCCGGAAGAAATATGATTGAAATCTTGATGACAATTTCCCTTACCTGTAGTCATTTAAAATAATTTACGCGAGTAATTGCGATTAAAGATCTTCGTATCAAGCAAGAAAATAATGTATAGTTGACTCTCTATAAGTACACGTTATCAGGGGACATGAGCTTATGAAGGTGTGCATTTATAGAGTGACTTAGTCTAAATTCATCAAATATTAAAAAAACAAAAGTTATTAAAGAAATTTATTGAATAGATCAAATGATGGAGAGAGGTTGTGCACTTATGGAGAGTATTACAAATTAATAAAAAAAAACAACTTTGAGAATAAAAAGGTATGTATAAACAATTCCTTTTGTATTTTTTTTTTTTTTGTAGTTGTGTTCATCAACATACAAGTCATTAAATTCATTCGTGCTAAACATTGATTTCCTGTACTAGCTTAGTGTTTGTTTTTAACTCCATTAAAAATGAACTAACAGTAACGTAAATGCAATAATTAATAAATATAAAAAAATTTTTAATTTAATAATTTATTGTCGATAGAATCATACCTATAGTTGTTAGGCGAAACTGTTTTTCGCAAATGGCGAAACACGAAACCTAAATCCGGCGAAACACGAAACTGGCGAAACTAAGACGAATGGCGAATGGCGAAACCCCCAGAGAAAGACGAAGTTCAAGCTCTCAGCAAGTTTAATTCTCTAAGGCTATGGAAAAGACTGAATCATGTTGGAGAATGAAATATTGTATGTATCTATTAAGCATTGCATGCGTGCATATGATTCATATGAAATATATGTACAATGAATCATATGCACACATGCAATGCTTAATAGTGTTGGGTTCGGAATGCTGCGACTCAGTCGCTCCACAATCTAAGATTACGTGCAACGTACGGTAGGTAACCTTTTCGAAAGAGGGTGTTAGATTTGGCTGGTGGGTGATTAAGGCTTTTGGTTACTTGGATTCAACGAAGGTCAATGTGTAAGTCACGTGAACAAGAACTTGAACGAACGATGATGTTTATAGGGATTTACTGGGTTTATACTGGGTATAGCGTTAGGGTTTTATTATGGACGATACAATGTATTGGGATTTGTTTATTAATAAAGCAAATGAGACATTCTTTTTTTTTCTCTAAGGGCCATTTCGGTCTTTATTTATATTATCTTTCTAACTATGACTTATTTAATTACATTAATCTCGCTTCTCTATTTTCTTTATTTAATTCGATCTTTCTAATTTATCCACCTAAACCCTTATACTTAATAAATTCCCTTTCGCTATTAAATCCCCTTTCCTTGATATATACCAGGAACGGAGTTTGTACAACGTACAACGTAGTGTATGGTTTACCTGCAAGTTAGCGGTGTTTACAAAATCTTGGATGATCGATCCTTGTGACTTTATCTCATGACTTCTGAATTTGTGCATTATAATTTTTTTGCATAGATATCATGCTTATATTTTTAAAGTGTTTATATTTTCTTATTTAGTCATGAATTTGAACACGGGCCCTTATTATTTATTATCGTGGCTTTTTGATTGTCATGTTTCTCAGGTTATTACCTGTTTTACACAAGATCCCACCTGTATTATCAATTTTGGTATGCTGCGTTTTTACTATTTTATGTCTTTCGTTTTCATTAATCTATCTTACCTCGTTTTTGCATGATTTAGAGTTGCGCGAAATGGCGCTTGCCGTTATAACAGTTTACTTTATCCCAGTGGTTTATATGCGATTCAGATGTCATAGCCAGATATTCGTTTGATTGGGCTAATGTAAATCAATTACCCGGGTAACTTATTTATATATTTTAGAGTACTTTTTGAGATTGTAACATTTCACTAATAAAAAATTACAGCGAAAGTTATTTCTTGCTTTGACCGAATGTCAGTATTCACTATAAAAAATAATCTCAAAATAATCTCAAAAGTGACGAACTTTGCTTAGAAGGCAAAATATACTGTCGCCTATTGGACCGTGCAAAGTTATACTGTAGTGTCACGGGTTATAAGGACGGGTTCAGAGATGGGGCAAATGCGACGGTTTGTCAGAAAAATGGTTATGCCGCGTAACGTTCCTCAAGGATAGTAGAAGCAGTTTTTCGATTTGGCACTGGTCAAGGCGATCGAAGAGGAGCGTTAAAAGATGTGTATTACAATTTTAAAGGTGCGTTTATTTATTTTACAAGTTAAAAGGGCTTTATTAACTTAATTAATATTTTGTAGAGGCAGTACAATTATAATATTATTCAGGGCGATTCTGAACTATTGTATAATTCTGAACTCTTGGACGATACTGAGCTTAACTTAGCTCTTGGAAGGGGGAAATTCCACCTTTTTTATAATGAATTCACTGCGAGAAGAGCCCATGCAAGACCATGACTCTTCTCATTATTTCCAACACTTCTCAACCTTATTTGTTATAACCTTTAACCCCTTCCACACAGCTTTTCGTTACTTTAATATTTCTCATGGTTTTCATAGAACCGATGAGAAATGTTTCAATTTCGCGATCCAAGGGCCAGAACCCATCATATTGTCTTTAATCACACCCTCCTTGACATTGCCTCACACCTAACCCAAGTAAGGCAGGTGAAGTCAATGTCCATTCCCAGTGCAACAGGTTGGTCGAGATCAACCTTACTTTAATTGGAAGGGGTGGTGGGGTCCCGCATGAAGGCGCACATGTTTCAGATGGAACATCATGGGCACCTCTAATTTGGTAAATATGCCACAATAACATCCATTTTGCAGGTTCTATGAGGTGTCGTTTTTACCTCTGACAGTAGAAAAGGTAACTGGAAATGCTTTTTTACTTAAGCTTCTTTATTGCGTTAGATTCTGATAAACTTTTATTATTAACTATTTAATTTGAATATGTACAAGCTTCTTTAATGATCAAAGATTCGGGTTTAATATTTAAATTCATTGGTTCTTGTAATGCATTTAGGTTTGTCAACTGTAATTAAAGCTTAGATTTGTATTTTGTAGATTCTTTAATAAGTTCGGGTTTATTAGTAATAAATATCATATTGACTCCACTTTACGTGTATTCATATATTCTTTAAACACATGTTATAAATTCTTTTGTGTACATTTATTAGCTTGTATGGAGTTTTTTTTCATTTTTCAGTATACAGTATAATAGTGTTAACTGTTAATGATAAATTCTTTTAAAACTTTGTAATTTGATTGGTTAATTATCATGGGAAATCATGGGTAGATCTACAAAAATTAACCAATTAAATGAATGTCTTCCCATGTTGATGTGCAAAATCTTAATTGGATGATCAATTCTTATGACTTTGTGTAGTACTCCGAACAATGCTAAAAAGGATGTGATATTTGCTTGATATATGATAAATGGATGCAACCAGTTTAATATAGCTTATACAAACCTAGTAATAATCTTATTTCGCTGTCGCATTTCATTTGGTGGTTATGGAGAATCTGTCTATGATAGTTATAGGATATCTGTCGCTTTTGCCATAATCTTCCCTTTTATCTATTTAAGTGTATTTTTTTTATGTCTGGTTTCGATGTTAAAATTCATGTTCCGTTTATAGTTATTTTGGTTATTCTGAATATTCTTTTGACATGTGTGTGCTTTAGCTTTAAGCCTAAAATTATGATAATGATAATTTATTTTTTCATAGGAATAGAACATTACATAATATTTTGTGGTCTTTTACAAAAAGTAAACAAAATTTCACTTTTTTTGTTTTGGGCAAATTTATGAAATTTATGGTTGATATTAATTGTTTTAGTTTGTGAACCAAAATTTCATATTAGCGAAACTGAGAATTATCTTGAGAATAAATCGATATAGTTCTATCATAATTAGCAGGTTAAAAGTAATAGATTATTCAACAAATCATTTAACATTTTTTGTACATGTAGATGGTATATAATTTGAGTGTCTGTGATTTTTTTAATCATCTAGCAGACAGTTTGACAAATGTTCTCATTCTTATATCACTTATAAACTTGTTCTAAAAATAAATATATGCAGAATTTAATTCTAGTCAACTTGAATTAATAGCCCAATGAAGTTGTTCTAATAAAATTTTGTGTTATTCATCTGGATGGCAATATGTGCCATATGTCCATTAATTATTTCTGCGAGTATCACAAACCAAAAAAAAAACTTTAGAAAGTTAGTTAGAATTGAGGTGAGAATTGGTAATTTTTATGGATATAGAAAAAAATAATAATTACCTGTAAATAAACTTCATTCTCATCATAATAGAAATGAGATGCATCACCATTTCACCGACAATTTAATTCTATCGATATTTTATATTTAACATTGTGTAGCTAGCTATTTGAATTTGTAAACATTAACTTGGTCCATAAATTGGTCAATAAATTTAAGGAAACTACAAATACTATTGCACTTAAGCATTGTTTCTTCAGCAATTGCATTATTTGAAAACATCTTTTAGTTGAAATAATGCCCATACACATCCTGGAACTATGTGTACTTAGAATAATATATATTAGCAGATTTGATGCATGCATACCAGGTTTAAATTTTTTGAAATAATGCATAATAATGCTTCAATACAATAAAATAATGCATAAAGTGCGTTATTTCGTGACTATACTATAATATAAGGGCTACCTAAACTTTGTCTCATTTAAATTTTATTCCTTATTGATATATTATGTAGGTCCTATCTACTCACAAATCGACACCTTTGCTATATAAAGCACAAGACAGTTCATTACTAAAGAAATTATTATACCAGGAATGGTGTACTATGTACATAGAGTATACCAAGAATGAAGTTTGTACCATGTACAACGTAGTATATGGTTTATAGGCGATTCAGATGTGGATGTACAAAATCTTGGATCTGATTGGGTAATCTGTCATCGTGACTTTGTGTAACACCCCGAACAATACTTTAAAAGGAACAAATACCTCTGTATGCAAAATCTTAGAATTGAT